AATTTCCAAAGCATTCAAGGGCAGCACACTTCAAGCTGGTTCCAATTAGGCTGGCCAGTGTGGATGTCTCACACGTGTCGATATTTACAGCAGAGCAAGTCTGATCCACAGGGTCATCCTCTAGGCAGCAGGAGACCCTTGCCCACCACAGCCTTTGCAAGCATATTGTAGGCAGGCACACCATCACCCTCTGCGTCCCCTTCAAAAATGCCACTTCTATCCTTCATACTTCTGTGGCTACTCTTAGACCTCTCCTTTGCCAAGTACTCAGATCCTATACAGGAGATATGCCCCATGGACAATTTACGTTTCCCAAATATTTTCATTTTAATATTACTGTTTAGACTCTTAGCACTGTCACGTAAACATTTTTGAGAGCTCACTGCAAAGGTAGAATTTTGATTAGTGCCTGGAGCTCTTTGCAGGTTTTTATGTTGATATAATGAAATGACAGATCTAATTAGTCAGTCTAAGTCATTTTCTACAGGGAAAACTGAGGCTTATTTGACATGCCCATTGCCAGGGAAAGGAGGGAGACATGAGAACAATAAAGGAAACGGCAGACTTTACATCCAAGAGAATATAAGGGCAAGAATGACAATGAGTACTCTGCAGAATATCTCAGAGAAACCATTTCTTCCAATAAATGTCACTAGTTTCCTATAGTTTAGACATTACAAATGTTTCTGCTTCAAAAGAAATGTTAGAAATGTTGTTGTCAGATCTCTGCATCGCAAGGTAGAAAGTATCTTAGATCTTTGTTTGCAAGGCTCAATTACCCCGTGTTTATTTCTAGTGGGGGTTTCACAGCAAATCTCTGTTCTGATTTCCTGTCCTCCCCTCTCCCCAACACACACACTTCTGAACAGAATCAGGGAACTTTTTGTTATTTACTCAGAAAATACTCACCTATTCTGATTTACTCATTTTATTTTAGGAAAATGAAAGAAATGTTGCTTCTCTCACCTTACATCCTCAAGGATATTCCCTGGCGCCAGCAGCCAGCATAGGCAGAAATAATTCTCCCTCCCACCACTGCCAATTCTACCTGCTTTCGATAATAAACACTTCCTGAATAGCAAATAAAAGGTGAGGCTAAACAAAGAACTGCAAGCCCACTGTGGTCGTGATCAGGCCAAGTGGAGACAAGCTGCGGGAATGAGTGTGTGCAAAGCCCAGGACGGCGTTTTTGGTTCTTGGGGCTCTATTTTAGTGCTGATTGGCACCATCTTCAACGCCTCTCATTTGGGGCCCGGGGTGTATGTGTGTCCCAATCTGGAGCAGCAGGTGCAGGGCGCAAAGCCTCCCTCTTCCGATACCCTCCACGGCAAGGGGCACACCGGGTGGTGGCGGTTCGTTGATGGCCTCATCTCACATTCCCATTTCTGGCGAGCTAGTTCGCTGTTCGTGCGTTCCCTGAGTGTTTCCAATTCCTTGATCTGGCAGCTCTTCCTCCTAACACATTCCCTCGTAGCTTATTACTAGCCACGTCTTACTCTTTATTCATTTTAGCTGTGGTGCACAGGTTTCCTTTGTAAAACTGTGTGTGGGGCAGGGGTGGAGGCACAATATAACCCAGTGCACAAAGTGCATTTGTAGCCAGTATTGCCTTTAAAAATATTTAAAAAATTTAAGAGACTGTGACTTTAATTTCAAACCGCACGACTCACGGCACAATGCTTTTAAAATCAGCAAAACTCGGTGCCTGAGCTGAGCCTGAGCCAGCACACACGCGAGAGCGATTGCTGGCGTGAGGCGCCGCTGTGGTGCCAGGAGGGCTGGGGATCCCGCTCCTGCCCACTCCAAGTCCGGCTGCTCCTGCAGCTCCGGCGGGGGGCTGGTGGGTTCCGGCTTAGGTAAGTTACTCAGGCCCACGCTGGGCCCAACGCCCTCCAGGGATGCTGCCTATGTTACTAAACGCGCGCCCTGGAGCGTCCCGCCCCGCAGTTCCTCCATCGGCCCTTCGGGACCCGAGTCAGGCTTTCATCTGTTTGGTTAGGTTTCTCCTGAAGGCTTTGAACTACATGGGCTCCCGGAACTCCGCAGCCACCGGCACATTTCGTTGGCACCCAAATAGCAGCCTGAATACAGTCTCACCAAAATCAAAGCGGCGTAGGAGACGTGACGTGGGGACAACTCTCGCTTCACGGAAGACCTCGGACCACCCTTTCTGCCGCCGTCACCCCCCCAGTTCCCAAGAGGGCAGGTACCCTCTTCCGAGTGCCTCCTCTAGCCTCACGCTTTGGGTACAGAGCTTGCCTCCTCTTCTTTCTCTGCTTGGGGAAACCTGGGCAGTTCCCGAGGCCACTCGGGGACCCTCGAATCCGTTCTCTGCCTCCCAGGAAGTGCAGCCCCAGCCGGAGGCATTACGTCATGGGTTTCGTCCCACGCTCCTGCTCGGGGCCCCCCGGAGCTCAGGAGCCGCTCTTCCCTTCGTTGCACGCAGAGCCCAGGGCGCCCAAAAGAGCGGAGCCAAACCCAACCAAGCATACACATGCAACCGCAAGCTTTTTACCTCTGAACGCTCAGCGCCGACCGCGTCGCCGCCCTCCTGGTCTTGCAGGGGCCAAAGCTGCATCCCGAGGAAGTGGGAGACGTTTTGCCTTTCCTTCGAGGATCTCACCCTTCGGCCACCTCACCCCCTCGCAGCCCGCCGCGCGAAACCGCGGAGTAGGGGCCGAGGGCCGACAGGGGGCGACAAACTGTAAGCTTTTCCGGCTGCGAGGCTGCGAGCAGGCTTTAGCGAGCAGCGAGCGCTGTGTGGTCTCGGCCGAGAGCAGCTCGCTGCTGGATGTGTTGTGGCGAGAACGGGGGTAAATGTGGAATTTGAAGTGAGGGCCTTCAGGCTCTGACACCCTAGACGCCTCCTGGCGCAATCTTCCAACGGTTCCCCAGCATCGAAGGCCTTCGGCTAGGGGAGCGGGGAGAAGATGCCGTCCTGGACTCTACCCTCTTGCCAGGGTCCCGCGCTCTACTGGAGGAGCTAGGGTCATGTTCCCCTGACAGGGCAGATGCGGCGAACCAACTCACTACAGCATCACCGGCTATACTTTGCTCTTCTCAGAGAGCATGCCTGCCGACACCTCGCCTACTGGGGAAAGAAATGGCTTTAGCTGCTTCATGTCCTCTCTGGGATGCACTGGGTTCCCTGGTCTAGGCATCAACCTTTTTGATCCCCGGCGCCAGACTTGAAGTTCAGTAAATAAAAAGTCTAAAGCAGGGGTTACTAGGTTCCAAACCACCCGCAGAGAACTGAGAGGGGAGCACAACCCGTCCCAGGCAGCCTCGGAACTCCCCACACCGGGGGCATTCTGTGGTGCCTTGTAGAGTTACTGGCTCGAATTGCCCACCTTAGTCTAAACTGTAACCCGACCCTGCGCGGTCGTGGACAGGCCTAATCCTCCAAATAGTCCTATCCCCACGCTCTCTCGCCAGTGCACTGACTCTTCTTCCCGGTCCTCGTGGCCTCCCCGGGGCTCCCAAAGCCCGAGGCTGCACTGTGTTCTTCGTGCTGCGGAAGGAGAGAGTCCTCACTTCTTCTGATCGTAGGTTTTCTTTTCTCAAGGATAATTCTTGCCTGTAGCCCCGACCCCACCACCCCTATCAGGCAGGCGCGCTCCCTCCGGAGAGTCAGGATAAAGGGCTCAGTACCTTCTAATTGACATACGCAGACAGGCTGATTAGGAGCCAGTGATGCTTTCTGCCTCCGCAGCGGAGGGAAAGGGATCAGGGACTCTGTTAGCCTCTGCGCCCGGGGCTGCGCTGGTCATGTTCGTCTGTGCCTCCAGCAGCGTTCCAGCGCCGGCACTGTGCGCAGCTTTCCGTCGAGCTCTACAATCTTGGGATTAGGCAGGTGGAGGATTCTTCCCGCCTTCTGAGGAGAACTGTGTTCCCTCCTTGTAGTTTACTGGCCCCAAACTCCCAGGTATTGGCGTGCCTGAGTCAGTTCAGGGCAAAACCAGGAGTTTCCTCTACCTGCTCTTTGCTGGGCCTCACCGCGTGGCTCCGTATGGGACTACCATGGTGAGGGACGCCGGCCTGCGAGTTGGTGCAAGACAAAAATAGCTAGAAGAGTTGATTAATGTGAAGGCGAAAGAATTCAGGGCTGTGCAAAGCCCCGCTTAAATGAAGGGGAAAGTGTCATTCCTTGATTTAACAAAGACCCTTCCAGGAGCTGCAGGTTCTGGGTGAAAGGTGGGACCAGTCTTCCCTCAGGCCTGAAGCAGGAACTGCAGTGTGTGACCTTAGTCAGGCTGTCAGGACTACCTGGGGTCTAGAGAGCGCTGGATGTGCCCCTGAGGCAACAGGTCAGAATCCTTTTCTGACTTGCGACCTGTGTCACCTATTAGAGAGGAGTACCTTCCAGTGAGGGCCTTTTCACAGAGACAGAATCTAGAATGTGACCATCTCTAGAATGTGATCGCGGAAATCACACCACAATTCCAAGGGAATGGGATGGCTATTAAAGATGGTAAAGATTTCTTGAGAGCAGGATTGGGGTGTCGACTAGAAATGGCACAAGCAGAACTGGCTCCACTAAAGACCACCGTGCTCCCTCCTCGTCAGGCACCCTGCACCATGGGGGCGCTCACCTCCACTCACCCACCAGTAGGGACAGCCACACAGTAACCACTTTGCATGGTCAACTTTATCCTCTGATGGAGGTGGAGGTAATAATAAATCTAAAACCAAAATTAGTACTAGTATTAATACATACTCATCAATTTTCAATGACTAACCCAACATTCTCAAAGCCAGAAGGGCTAGGGGCTTCGAGAGGAACGGAGCAAGTGGAAGGTCCCAGGCCCAGCAGGAGTTAGGGTGTGTGTGTGTGTGTGTGTGTGTGTGTGTGTATGGGGAGGAGGGCGGAGGGGGAGGGTGGACTGGAGGAGGGGGTAGAGTTTCAGGGCTGGGAGGGGGGCGCCGGGGTGCAGTGACGGGAACCAATGAACTGCCAACTCGCGCGTCTCCGGCGTGACTGCCGAGATTGACGTGGAGGACACGTCAAATTGATCCCCGCACGCTGCAGCCTCCCGGTCAGACGAATTTCTCCTAATCGGATGAAGTTCACTCTGGGCCTGAGGTCGCGGGCGTGGAGAGTGTCCTGGGAGCGGGCGGTGGCGACGGCCGCGGCGGGCCCTGGGGCTGTCGGCAGCTCGCTCGGCGGCGGCGTACGGCGCGTTTCCAGTCCGCGGCCCGGCCGCCGTGGCTCTCGGCTTGCGCGCGCCCTCCCTCTATGCCTCTCCCGCAGCGGCGGCGCCCGAGCTCTCCCGGACTGCGCCGGGCCCAGCCCCGGCCGCCTCGGCGCCAGGCAGCTGGCCGGCCCGCGCGCTATGGGTAAGGGGCGGGAGGCAGACAGGGCGCGGGCGGGCTGACGAGGTGGGTTGTGTCCCCGCGCCTCCCTCCCTTCCCTCTCGCCTGCTTTTCATGGGAGACTAGGTCCTGGGTCCCGGACAAACCGAGTCCTCTGCACGCCCCCAGCACTGGCGGGAGGGGGTGGTTTCGGCGTGCCACGGGAGGGGATGTCCTAAGCAGACGCATTAAAAATCGAGAAAGGGCATGCAGGGCTGGAGCACGGCATCGCCTTTCGCGGTCCCTGCGTCGGACCCAGACCCGGTCTGTTGGCTCTCCTGAGGACCCGTCGGTCACCTTCGGGGGTGCTTTTGCTCGAGGCCGCTAGCCTCGCGCGGCGGCCCTTCCTGGTTAACCTGCCGGTGTTTTCTCCCCCTCCTGCTCGCTCTCGTCGGGCCGTCCTCAGAGCAGACTTACGGCGAGGTGAACCAGCTGGGCGGCGTGTTCGTTAACGGCCGCCCCCTACCCAACGCCATCCGCTTGCGCATCGTGGAGCTGGCACAGCTGGGCATCCGACCCTGTGACATCAGCCGGCAGCTCCGCGTATCCCACGGCTGCGTGAGCAAGATCCTGGCGCGCTACAACGAGACGGGCTCCATCCTGCCGGGGGCTATCGGGGGCAGCAAACCCCGCGTCACTACCCCCAACGTGGTCAAACACATCCGGGACTACAAACAGGGTGACCCTGGCATCTTCGCCTGGGAGATCCGCGACCGGCTGCTGGCCGACGGCGTCTGCGACAAGTACAACGTGCCTTCCGTGAGCTCCATCAGCCGCATTCTGCGCAATAAGATTGGCAGCCTGGCACAGACTGGGCCCTATGAGGCAAGCAAGCAGCCGCCGCCCCAGCCGGCGCTGCCCTACAATCACATCTACCAGTACCCCTACCCCAGCCCGGTGTCGCCCACGGGCGCCAAGATGGGCAGTCACCACGGGGTCCCGGGAACAGCAGGCCACGTCAGCATCCCCCGTTCTTGGCCCTCGGCGCACTCTGTCAGCAACATCCTGGGCATCCGTACGTTTATGGAGCAAACAGGTCAGTTGAGGCGGCCTTCTGTAGCCTTCCTGGAAGGGGCAGAATTGGAGATTGAGGGGTGGGGGGGAGAATACGCGGGTGGGTGAAGGGTCACATTCGCACCGTCCTCAGACCGGTTTTGGTTCAGGGAAGGGCTCCCGGTCAGGGAGGCTGAGGGTCCCCGGTCTTCTGTGAGAGTGCTCGGACATCTTGAACTTTTTATGACAAATATGGAAAATATTTCCCAAATGGAAGAGCAATCGCCGACCACAAATACAGAGGCCTGAAATTGCGCTTTTTCATTCTTGCGAAAAGTATGCAAACCCCTATCGCCAGATCTAAGCCAAACAAACCGCAAAGTCTATTCTGCGACCCTTTCTTAATATCCTGATCTTTTGGGATCCCTCACGGTTCCCTAAATGGTTCTGACCCTCCCAGGCCCAAAGACTCTTTTGAGTAAAATGCAAGGAGCCGTCTGGCCGGGCTTGCCCGGGGGCTTAGAGCTCCTGCAGGCCAGGCAGCCTTTCAGGTCTTGGGGCTGGGATTTCAGAGAGACGGAGTCCCAGGGCTGAAGTCATCCTTCGGTGAAAGCTCACAAGGATTTGCCCTTTGCCGGCAATTACAACTCAGCAACTGTGGGTCATCTATCTCTCTTTGAAGGGAAGGATGCGGTGGGGAACGAAGGGAGTTTTGAGATGGTCTTGGTGCGGGGCTTGCTGTGTGGGCCAGGTCGAGTCCAGAGTCTCTTTGCACTGTCCTCTGCCCCCAGCAGCTAGCCAGGCTATGGCACGCTCTTAAATTAGCAAACTCTGGAAGAGAATAAGAAGCAAAATTCACCCTAGTTCAGGAGAGAGGTGGGGCGGTGGGAAAGAAACTGAATGCTTAGCTCTGATGGCCGTGGGGTGCACCCCTGAGGCTGCATACACTTTTGTTTCCTTTCATGGCTCAAACCCAGCCTGTGCAGCCTGGGGCCAAAGCTGCGTTTGGAACAACCGATGGGCAACTAGCTGGGAGGTGACCTCACCATGTCTGCACTCAGATCTGGAGTTTTCTGCCTGTTCCCTTCTCACATAGGTGTGGGAAGAGCAGACGTGCAAAGCACGCGAGTCTCTGGGTTGACGCCTTTACGGGGAGATCCGAGATGTCTCCAGAAGCAGTTCAGAGCAGACCCGTCTCTCAACCCTCCAGAGCTTTGTTGAGTGAGACTTTGAGAAACCCATATTGTTCTCACGAGCCTGCTGTGGGTTTGAACTTGCATCTTTCCTGGTGCCACCTCTGGGCAGCGGAAAGGCGCTGAATCTGAGTGGGCCCAGCCTCTTCCCTACAGGTCGGAGACTTCCGGATTCGCGGGAGGCGGGTCGAAGGCTAGGAGGCACAAGGAGCAGACCTTTCTTCTGCTCCACTGGGAGTGAAAGCGAATCCCAGTGCGCTGCCACCCAGTGGCCGCCCATTGCTCTCAGAGCATCCGATGTCCGCAGGTGTTTGGAGGACCCAGCGCTCCGATAAGAGCTGAGAGCTTGCAGGCTGTGTCAAGGTCCGGGCCGAAGGGCCACGCGTGTGCCCAGCGCAGATTCGGAGGCCCCTTCTAATCCATCCTGTGTCCCCGTAGGGGCCCTGGCTGCGGGTGAGGGCGCCGCCTACTCCCCCAAGATGGAAGACTGGCCCAACGTGAACCGCGCGGCCTTCCCACCTACCCCCGCCATGAATGGTCTCGAGAAACCTGCCTTGGAGGCGGACATTAAATATACTCAGGTAACTGAAAGGCAGACGAAGGAGGTGCCCTTACTTAGGGGAGCAGAAGAATTGGGGGTGGAGGGAAGAGAGAGACGAGAAAACGACCTCAGGCCGGGGACGAGTGTTGGGGTGTCTGGCAGCCCGGCTAGCTAGCGAGCGTCTGCTCAACAGATTTCTCTCCTTTTCTCAAGCGCACACGTTTGGGGGAGGCTGATTTTACAGGAGACTGATTTGCCTTTTGCCAAGATACTTTTGCTAAAATGCTGGAACCTGTAATACAGATGGTTGAGGACCCCCTTTTCTCTAAATCCCATATGGTGAATACCATGATCGCCTTGGCCTCTTATTATTTATCACAATTTCAACAGAAATCACTTTGCCAGAGTCCTTACTAGAAAAATTAGAGGCCAGTCCTTGTACGGGGAGCACTGAGGGAACAGAAGAGGGAAATGAGGGTCTGCCACTAATTAGCAGTTGCCTGTGCTGGAGCAGAGGTAGGATTGCCTGCTGCTGATGGCCTGTCCCTCTGGGTCCCCACAGTCAGCCTCCAGCCTCTCCGCAGTGGGCGGCTTCCTCCCGGCCTGCACCTACCCGGCCTCCAACCAGCATAGCGTGTACAGCGCGCCAGCTGGTGGCTACCTCACCCCAGGCCCACAATGGCCGCCAGCACAGGGCCCCTCGCTGGCACCACCCGGGGCCAGCGTCACCGTGCACGGTGGGGAACTCGCTGCAGCGTTGACCTTCAAGCATTCCAGCCGAGAAGGTGAGGGGTGCCAGCGGGAGGGGTCGGATGCCTGCCTGCCGGGAGGGTTAGGAAGGCTGTGAGGGAGGGGATGTGAGCGTGGGAAAAGGTGGGGGGAGAGAGGGAGAGACAGGAGCTGAAGTGGGTGCCTGGCATAAATTCTTCCTCCAGATTAAGCCTTAAACCTGTAACTTCTGGAGCAGATTAATTTCTAACCAGTGTATGGTGTGTCCCTACAAAGAGGTTCACAGAGGCCCCAAAATTGCCCATCATGTAGTGTATGGAGAGAGAAAGAAGGTCGGGCTGGCAAATAGGTCTCCTAGGTTTTCATCAGGTTCTCCTGCTCTTGGCCATTATGCTCTTCTCTGGGTCTCAGTTTCCCCATTCATAGAAGGGCCCAGAAGCACCATCCGGCCTGCCCTTTCTATGGCCTGCAGAGGTTTGCCTTCTCTGGTGGACTTGCTGAGGCCCCTAGGCCTACGGCCTGGTCGTTCCAGGCACTACCCATCTGTTTCTTCCATGTTCTTCTGCTTTTAACCAGGCCCTGGTCCTCCCTTGGATTCATTTTCTTAAACACATCTTCAGAAAAGGAGAGTGTTTCAATCACTTTTCCCTAAGTCTAGACTCTTGAACTCTGTGCTTTGGGGTCCTTCTTTCTGTGGGAAATGGGGCTGGAAGTTCTCCCCTTTCCCCTTTTATCTCCATAAATCAACTCCCTGGTAAGTCCACTAACAGATTGACAGGCTACAATGTGAGGATCATCTTCTCACACTGACCTTCGGGTTCTTGTTTTTCCTACAGTTTGAGAAAAGCTTACCTGCACTCTAGTCTCATTTTCCTCATTGGTGAAGGGAGCAGCTGGGTTTGCTAACTTCAAACCTGCCTGTATCTAGATTCTGGTCACCAGGAATTTGCAACTTCAACTACTCTAGGTATGGAAGGAGTCGCCTCCGGGGTCCCAACCCAGCAGTGAAGGAGATAGGGCACACAAATCTGGGGGACAGCATGGAGCAAAGAGTTGTTCCAGATTACAAAAGGATCTTTACCAGCTGCCCAGCCTCACATCTGCAAAGGCAGAACTGGGGGGCAGGTGGCGTTGGGGCAGGCAGAGGACAGGAGGGGGCTTCCTCCTTGGTGTTGTACAGGGAAAAATTTTATTTATAAGTAGTTTCCATGAGACACAATGATTTCTCTCAACTTGATGAGGGGCTAGGGAGTGGGAGGGAGAGCAGATTCCAAGGATATTGATAATAGTCAAGTAAAGGAAAAAATGTTTTTCAATTTTCGCTTTTCCTAGAGCACAGGCATCCTGGCTTATAAATGATAAAAATTGGGAATTAGAACTCCTTTGAGCTTTAACTTTAATTTGAATAATAAATGATACCACTTGCTCATTTATAGGAAATTCCAAGTAAAGGAAAACCTAAAAGTTGAGAATTAGAATTCCATTAAGCTTTACATTTAAGGACAGATAGCTCTCAGGTTGAGAGCTTTGCTCAGGGTCTTCTCCTTGGCCTTGAATCTACCTGTTTTCTCTACAAGTGAGACTATCTGTTGGATTAGAAATCAAAATGGAAATTTCTTCATTACACAAATCATTTAACCAAGCAGGTTCATATGAACTAGAAAAGGCTACTCACAAGATTAAATGATTTCCCAGGTACTGATCTCAAGCGGAGGGAAGGCTTAGAGAAAGGACTACCTGCAGAGCCATGCAGTTGTTGCTCAAGAGCCACTTTGTCCTCAGGCATTTCAGGCTCTGCATGAGGAACAAATCTGGCATGTAGCTAACAATCCATAGGAACAAAGTTGACATGTAGGTAACAATTCAAAGGTACAACATATAGTCTTGAATTCTAAACTAATTCTAGTTAATTAGTGGGGGGACTCATTGGTGCTTGATTTTCTGTAAAAATACTCTCAGAAATACAGAGCCATCAGAGGGCACTGGCACTGATGTCCCTTTTACCATTACATTTCTTTCCTATTATGAAACATCCGTTTCCAAAATTTGTAGCTATAATTAGGTACATTAGTTGTTAGATAAGTAACTTAATTTCCTGATCCTCACAGCTCTTTTACAATTTAGGTAAAGGCTCATCAAATAAATCTGGCCCATCATTAAAAATGTTTTCTCAAGCTGGCATACAAGTTTGTGCTTGAATAGGAACCTAAAAATATAAGAATTGCGTATCTACTCGGGTTATGGATTTTTATGGATTTTCCCCTTGGCAGAAACTATGACTTCAGAGACCCTCTCCAAACCAAAAACTAAAAACAAAAACTGGTCTTTGAAAAATTACAAAGCAAAGTAATTTGAATCACTGCCTTTATTTTTCAATCACTACTTAAGAAATTATCTTCAAAGAAATGCATCCTATAAGATAATTAATTGTTTAGTTCTTAAGAATAGTAGAAATAGCACTTACTGAACTTTTTTCGGTAACAAAAATTTCCTTTATTGAAAGCGATTTGATATTATGAGTGCTCAGTTAAAAAATAAGTCAATCTTTTGATTATCTAGCACATACACACGTGACACACAAAATATTGTGTATATGTATATGTATATATACACATACACACATATAATAAACAGTGTGTCCTCCAAATCAGGTGCAAATGAACAATAACTATTATCCTAAGGGAAGGAGAATCAAATGTTGAAGTATGAATGTACAACCTATTAATTTCATATACATGAAGGGCAGTGAGCCTGGGTTCTTTAGTATATGTCCACAAGAAAGTATGATTTATGCTTCCCATCTGTGAAAGGAAACTTTAATTCTTGGCAACTGAGAAAGTGGAAAAGTTCCATTTCATCTACAGGTGGAGCAGAGAGCTGATATTCTGGGAATGTGGACACCCGTCCCACTGTCTTCACATAGCCAGACAGGATATGCAACCCTCCACAGGCACACACAACAGGTGACAGAACCCGCCAAATATTCCCTCAAGAAAACTGGTATTTACAGTGAGTTTTCAGAAAAATACCAAAACCTCAAGGTTCTAAAATCCCTCTCAGAGGGGCTTTGGAAGTCAAATCTATAAGATATTGCATCATAGATAATGTGTTGCTTATATTGTTAAAGATAGCTCGCAGCTTCTTTCCAATTACCTCTGCTCGGGATTCGTTCTTGAAGGATTGGTCCTAAAAGCGAGCTTTGTCAGAGAGCACTAGGATGCAGGCGTCTGCCGAGGGCCTTGTGGTCGCCAACCCCGGTGTCATTTGACCTAGCCCTGAGAGTCCCCTTCCCAGACCGCCGTGCGCCTCCCCCCCACCCGTGGCCCCAGCGGCCCTACAGTCATAGTCCCAGGATTTTTTTAAAAAAACACTTGCCACCCTCCCCCCGACTCCATTCCTGTTCGCTGAGATGAAGTGAGCCGGCAGTGCTCCTACCTTCTACCCAAGCTTACGAGGCCCCCACAACACACCCTTCACCTTCCCACGGGCTGCGCCCTGGAAATGTGGGGAGGAGAGGTTCTGGGGAGGGCTAAAAGCTAGGCAACAGGATTCGCCCGTGTAGTGGGGTGCAGTCTGTCTCTGGGCTCCCGGGTGATTTTTTTACGAGTCTATTTTCTTGCTTGTCTCCAAGGCAACCAGCCTTTTAGAAACCACCTTCTCAGACGTTTTCTAAACAGGTTCTCACCTTGGAATGTGTACAAGGTGGAAAGGTCTGCAATCTGCTGTGGTTGGGCGGCCACAACTGTGTTTAGGAATGAGAGCGGAGAGGCGGGGAGAGCTAAAGGGTCTTCTCTCTCCGGGAGAGGTCTTTAGACCCCTTCAAAACGTCTGCGCAACCAGATATGCGCGCGCGTCTGTGTGTGTGTGTGTCCGTTGCATAGAAGTGTCTGGCTCACCTCCGTGCAGCCACAGCAAGTTGGCGCAGGAAAAAAAAAGTCCAGAGTTCCACCTCATCCCAAAGTGAGGCGCTCCAATCTCCTGCTCTAGAGAAGGACTTGGGGAAAAAGAAAGTTGAATAGGGGCCTTTAGGTATAAACAAGCTTGTGCCTCCTAGTGCGAGAAGCTGAGACCAGGACTGGGAAAGGAAAAACGGAGGTTGCGCAATCGTAGCTTCAACTTTTCTGGCTTTCTGTGGCAAAACTTGGGCCCCTTCCCAAAACCCTAAATAATAGAGCAACACGCAGAATGCCCTCTGATCTGGCAAATCCACTGTCACTTAATCCTGAGGCCCATAGGCCCCAGGACGTGCTGAGCCCACAGTGGTGAGCGCATCTGTTACGGGCGGCGATGGGACAGGAAGTCTGCCGCCGACTTCAAGAGCGACCGCCTCCTCGGGGCAAGGGTTCCAGGCCGCCCTGGGCCCTTACAAAGGGGCGTCTTTGGTGACCCTCTCCCCACTCTATTTCCCCTTCTCACCGTGAGCGTCCGGGCCTCTTTGAGGGGCTGCGGCCGCGAAGCGTTGGCAGCTCCGAGAGCCTTGCGTGCGGCTGGGATCTGGGGTGGTGCGTAGAGGATGCGAGGAGAGTGCGCGGGCCCCAGCTTCCCGGTGCCTTCCCCTCAAGTCGCATCGAAGAGCTTCCCTCGCCCTGGGCGCACGGGTCCGCAGCGTCTGCCCACACCGTCGCCTCCTCTCTTGAGCTGGCGCAGGGCAAAGGGAAGAGCATCGGTCAGCGGCCAGGGAGCGCGTGCAAAATGGCCCTGGGAAGAGGGTCACTTGCCAAAGCTGTTCTGGCAACGGATCCCTTAAGAGGACTGGGAAAGGTGGGCGCCAACAGGCGCGCGATGCCCTTGGAGAGAGCGGGGCTCTGCTTTCTTCTCCTAAACCCCTGAGGTGCCTACGCGCGCCCCAGCGTGGACCCGGATCTCGCGCTGTCCCCCGCGTTGGCGGGCGTCCGGGGCCCCGGGGCTGTCCTCGCGCCGCGCCAGGCAGTGACCCGACGCCCCTGTGCTTCTTCCCGCAGTGGCCGACCGGAAGCCGCCCAGCCCCGGCGGCAAGGCCCCGGACGGCCTCAGTAGCTTACACGGACTGCCCATCCCGGCCTCGACCTCCTAGGGGCAGTGCTGCCCGGAGCCCGAGCGCGAGCGCGAGCCCGGAGGCGGCGGCGCACCGGGTGGACCCGGGCGCGCAGCTCGGCCTGCAGCCCGGCGCGCGGACCCGAGGACTCGCCGAGGAGGTGCCCCGAGCTGCTGGCCCTGCCGTCCTGGCCCGCGGCAACACTTTATTTACTGGCCAGGGATTTTAGGCTTTTCTGAACTTTGTCTTTAGACTGTTGCGCCTTCGTCGCTATCCTTGCTCCGACGTGGCCCTGCTCTCCCTGCCGGCGGGAAGCGTCTGCTCCCGCTTTTCCAGGGTTGTTTGGCATCCTTCGCCCTCCCTGCCATTCTCGCTTTCTTTTCCGCCCTCCCTCGCGTAACTTCTTGCTTTCCCATCGCCGTCCTGCCTCCACTGTCCTCTTTCCTTCCTGACTTTCCCCTTCCCTTTGTCCTCTTAATTTTTCGCTGTTGGGCCCTGGTCCCCTTTCTGCCCTATCTGCTGTGCTCCCTTCCTGTGCCTCAACCCTGACCACCCACCGTCTCTCTTTCTCCCCTTTTAGAGGCAGTGACTCTATTTCTCTTCATTCCTACTGCTTCCCTGACACCCGTCACCTTCCAGGAGAACCCCAGGCCAGTCACCGAAAGCTGGGACTCTAGCTTCCACTTCTCCCATCCTCCCTCCCATCAGCTCTAACGGAGGGATCTTGAACCTAGGAAGTGGAATGAGAGGTCACAGCATTTGTTTTATATTTTGATAACGATGAACCTGAACAAACCCCAATGAACTGTCCTCTCCCCCGTCTTCCTCCTCTGGATATTGTCTTGAAATCTGTATTTTCTCAGTGCTCAGTGGGTGAGCTTCTCTTTGCTTCCTTTGAGATAATGTCACCCCAAAGAAGACGGGGTAGTAGTAGGGGGCATTGGGACCACTGGTATTTTTGCTAGTTTGAAAACCACTGCCCTGGAGGTGCCCCTTCCCAGCCTTCCACACCTACCAGAAAGGAATATGACACATTGTAAATGAATCAGCACTGTTTCTGGTATTCAGGGCTTAGTACATTTGTTAATGTAAACCACAAATTGCTTCCGGGTGGGTACAAAGGTGCAATCTGGCTTCTGGTTTGCAAGGGGTGGGGGTCAGAAAAACCCATAAAGTGTCTTCTAGAGCAGGATGCAGGATCAAAGAGCTGTTAAGTGCTTCCAAGTTCAGGTGCACTGGTGGTGGGACTATGGACATAAAACTGCAATTTTTGTAGTCATAAAAATGTTACTGGTGTCTGACATTGTCTGTTAAATGTGGCTGCCTTTGAATAAAGGAAAGCATCTGAAAAACACTTTGTAAGGTGAGCAAGTCTGTCCCAGTCTGGAGTGTTGTGTAGGCGTGCCTCAGCTAGCCTAGCTCCTGAGTTCCCAGCATGAACAGCATTATGATGAAATTATTTTATTGGTTTACTCCTCAGCACTTGCAGCCCAGGTTGAGCAGGAGGTGGAACAGAATGTGAAATGTGAGGAGCGTTTTCAGGGATTTGTCCCAGAAGACTACAGGCTGGCCCTGGGAAACTGAGGTAGAGAGGCCCTGTGCAGAAATCTTTGTGAAATGAAGCAGATTTTTAAAGGAAAAAAGGGAAGGGACACAAGGCAGTGAGCATCAATGGAGGACTTTTCCAAACATTTCTAAAGAAAATTATCCCAGGCTATCAAATTATCTGGGGATTTCTGGCTGCAAAAGGGATCTCTGGTGAACTGTTTTGTTTTTCCTTCCTCTGTTTGGCTTTCTAAACTGACAGTGGAGATTTTTAAATTGAAGGTTTTGCTCATAAGTGGAGATGCCTGCTTGAACATGTGGAGGGAACCAGTGGGGAAATTATTTTCATTGCGTGTTGTTGCTATCCTATCTGCTGAAGGTGCTAATCATCTACTTTATTCATTTAAAAATATTTCACCTCAAATTGTCAAATTCCCTTGCCTTTAAAAAAAGTTCCATTTTATAGATGGGAATATTGAGGAGTAGCTATTTGGTTTATTTTCTCTGGGCCACACAGCAAGTTATAGATTACAAGCCTTGGGCATGAGAACTGGGAGACACTGTTTCATCAGAGAGCCGGGATCGGGGCTTGAACTTTGAAACTCAGTTTCTTTGCCAACATTTCTTGCAGAGAAGCTGGTTAGAAGGATAATAGGAATGTAGTATGAAATAGAGGCATGCTTTCAAGTCCCCCGTCCTCTTAGCCTGTCTTCATGTGCTTGGCTGAGCTTCACATGTTCAGTCATTAACAGGATTTTCATGAGTCCAACCCTGTTGCCTGGAGGACTGGCTTGCCTGGGACAGGAAGAAATCATCTCCCCCCATCCTGAAGAAATGAAAAGGAACTATATAAGCAGCCTCTATCTCTGAGTTGCCTCCATCCCCATTTCCCTGCCATTTCCCACTTAGTGTTTGGATTGACTAAGGATGGATTGTCTAAGGATGAGCAGATCTGGGAAAAGCAATCTGGGAAGGATGGAAGGCACCTGTGCTGCAAAGCAAGGAAGGCACTTTCTGCTCCCTGTGGTTCCCCATGTCCTGTGGCTATGGGCGGGTTGGTCAGAATTCCTTGGCTCTGTGCTGTGAACATTCTGGGAGGATGGGCAGCACCTTGTCACAGTGCTAGCAGGCTTGACATTTCTGGTGGGGTATACAGGGCCATCTCTTCTCTCTTGAGGCTTTAGGCCATGGGAAGTCCCCGTGGGCTTGGGTTAAATCTCTGCTTCCCTATAGTGCAGTGGAGGCCGTGACCTTGCTCAGCCTCTGTGCTCCTGTCTGTGAAATGCACCTTCTAATGCTGTGATATCCATGGAGATCTTGCCTGAAGAAGGCTGGCACTGGTGGTGCTTCTCCTTCCTAGAGATGATTTTTCTGTTAACAAATGGTAGGACAGCCATTTCTAATGGTTGATTGGAGACCCAGTATTATAACATTTTTCAAGAGGTCCCATTGGAATATTGCATTTTTGTTCTCTCTGCAAATGGATCTGTGGAGGTACTGGGGACTCATGGGAAAACTGTGTATGTAGTACCATATTGGGTAGAATAATTTGAGAAACAATCATCCCCCAAAGGCAGTATGTCTTTGCTCTAGCAGCTGCCTTCTATTTTTTAAAATTGAAAGATAAGTGTTTTTTTTAATATAGAGAAGTACTACAAAGAAAATAAACAAAAAGTGACAAACAATTGCTCAAGTAACCCTCTGATTTTTTTGAAAGAAGGAAATATATGTACATCATTAGAAAATTCTAGCAGTATAGGAACCTGGAAATGGAAAGTGAAAGCTTCTTCCTATCTTCATCTCCTTCCTTAAAGGTGAACAATGTTACAGTCTTTTATGAATCCTTCCAGGAAAAAAAATGCAAACAGCAGAATATCTCTGTTTCTGCATATGTGCTATTTAAAAGTGCACACCAAGGAGATGTGCTATACACACAGATCTGGTCTGGTGATCTGATTTTTGCACGCCAGCAGCTTCAGCTCCACCATATTAACTTAATTTTCTCAAATGCATACATATCAACAAGGGTTTACTAAAAACAGTATTTCTAAAGTGGGCCAGCTTTGTGCTTTAAATGAGTAAGGACAGGATTCTATTGGCATTTGTGCTTAGTGAAAGTGCCTGGAATGGATTGTAACAACTTCCCAGGAAAGGTGGTTGCTTTTTGTCAGGGAGGAAGGAAAGCAAAGCAAAAGGAAGTGTACAGGGGGACAAGAGAGACAGAACTTTGTCCTTCCTGAAGATATTCTGTCTTATTCTATAGACCACCAAAGACTATTCAAAGCAAGGGGTTGGGGATGCAGCTTTCCTTCCTTTGAAGAGAGTCAGACTTTCTAGGTCAGGAGGCAAAGGAATGGAGAAGAACCTTGTTTGAAGAAATATTGGTTAGGAATAAAATGTCAGTAACCAGTAAGGGCATAAGCATTCTTTTTCTGCAATTCACTTGAAATCCATGTGGAATTAACCTGATGTGTGAACCCCATTCATTGACAACTGTGTTATCTTGTTTGCTTGTTTCTTGACTCCTGATAAAGAGGATGGGGTTTACTTAATTTAACAGTGCTCCAGGTTAAGGCAGTCTGTAGGTTTTCTGACATCAGCTTTCCTAGATAGAATTCCATTGGCCTGGGTTTCTTTTCAAAAGAAACTCTACCTGCTCCTTGTTATGCTGGATAACATGCATTAAAAACTTGCCAAAATGCACCCGAGGAGCTCAGTTGTAAGGACTGTTCATCCAGACATTGTATGTAATGAAAAACATTTGATTCTCTTCTTTTAATGGGCAGGAATTATGCACAAAATAGTGTTTGGTCTTCACCTTGACCTTGCTGGCTGAACCTCAGCCTCGTTCACTGAAGAAAAGTCCTGTGGCTGAGACATTTCTGCCAAACTATTGGATCTCAACTTCAAAAAATTCTGTTTTTGGATTCTGTTTTCAAAGGACAGAGCAAAGAGAAATCACACTGTCTTCTTTTTCAGGGCATTAAAATGAGAACCACACATTTAGTCACGATCCAACTTGGGAATTCTAAACACTTGGAACAATTATACTCAATTTCAACTGGTTGAAACCCCTGTTTCACTCTAAAGGGCTCTTCTCCAGGAGGAGCAGTCTGTGATCTTGGTTGGAACACACATCTGTTTCTGGGATGGCCAAATCCAAAAGTGGAATCCCAATTACAGTTTTCATGGGTGATGGAATTTCAACTGCATTACAGTTTAACCACCTGGGTTGCCTCCACTCTCTTTTTCTTCTTAAGGATGAAATAAGCTGATCAAGTGTTCATTCAGCTATTAAATTACATTTCCATCCTGTAACATTTTATTTCCTTTTTCTCTGGTAAGGTATATTGACTCCATGGATTATCTCCAGTGTCCTATACTGGCCACACAGTTTTCACTTTTGGAACTTCTTCCAGTCACTGGTGGATGTGGTTTTAGCTTTATAAGATTTTATTTTACCCAATACAACAAACAACAAAACAAAAATTCTTTAAATGGTTTTGATTTAACAACAAATCTCTTGGATGAAACATAGCAAACTATTTGAATGAACTGCAGTAAATTAATTTTTTTAAGAGTTGGAATCTGAAACTTGTAAAGTAAACCAAAAAAATAGAATGCTTCTTTGGCAAACAAGCTGTAATATGATTAGCTTGATCTAAGAAGCTAGTGATACCACTCTGGCCACCAGGGGGAGCACACACTGTTCCATGAAGCTGAAGAGTAACAAAGGGAACAATATGTGAAAAAAATAATCATTCTGTTAAAGTGGTAACCTGTCCAGTTGTGAACACATCTGTTTACAAGAGGAATGCTTTTGTTGTTATTATTATTGTACTTGATAACCAGATGCTTTGATTCTGGAATAAAGAGGTAGCCTGAGCATGTGGTAAAAATGGATGGATTTTCTAGGTTTATCCACATAGGAATTATCAAATAAATTAGCTGAAAAGTCAAGAGCACCTTAAAAATAAGATTAACATCTAATTTTGACTCTAATATATACAAATATATAATTATTCAAATAAAGAAAAAATAAATAAGATTTTAAAAAGCAACCTAATTGAAACAGACATTTTCAGGAAATGAAATAAATTTTATGTTTGTGCAATTTTGATATTTTTGGTTAATTTGGGCTTGAATCTCCCCAGTTTTCATCAAATTGCCCATTTTTAGTGATTTTTTGAAGTTCTTAATCATTTAAAGTCAAAATTTACATTTCAACTAAGGGCCAATATATTACAGGAAGGCAGCAAACAGCAAGAAGGCCTGTTTCCTTCTCTACTTATTTTAGGATAAAATCCCAAGAGATCATTTACAGTTATGGTAAAGAGAAATTTGTCCTTAGCTTAAAAAAAAAAAAGGAGCCTGTCTTACTATCTTTAACCTGGACTTTTACACCAAGTAAACGCAGACGACCAGCTGTGGAGCCCTGCTGGGAAAGTAGTGTGGGAAGAGCTCAGGTGTGTGGTGGCTGAAACCCAGAGCAGGCTGGGTCAAGTGTCTGTTTTACCAATTATCAGCTGGGGCAAGTTTAGTCAAAACTTACCAGCCTCAGATTCCTTGCCGTTTTGTGGGACTAATGTCTCCTCCCTGGGCAGTTGTGAGGACCATACTTCATAATATATAAAGAGTAGAGACTTGCTTTGGGTCACAGCCAGTTATTATCAGTGCTGTATTGTTATTGTTGTTTTCCTTGTGCATTTCCCATCAACATTTTATGGTGAATTCTGTCATGACACAGGCCTGCAGACTGTATTTGCTGTTATCAGGTTTGTGAAAGATACAAAGATTATCCAGACTAATAATGCTAGTCACTGGATTTACTGAAACTTTCAACAGCATAAGAAAGAGCCACCACTGTCGGC